TATAAAAGAGAATTAAAATAATAAACACTCAAAAGTATCGAAAATTGGTACCGTTAAGTACCGGTATCGACTCGTAGGTACCGGGAATTAGTACCGGATCGATTCAAATGTCAAAGGTACCCATCCCTACGCAGATGTGCCATTAGATTCGAAGTGTTGCTGCCTTTTGCAGACACTTGTTTCCTGCACGTTCTGCAAACGGGATAGCCGTCTTCTATTAACTGTCCCTCAGCATTTTTCAGAAATCCAAAATATGCCCATACTTCCGATTTAGTCTTCTTTGAGGGCTGATGGATGTCCTGGGCGCTGCCGTCTCCTCCTTCGGCCATTATTTCAGCTTCAAAGTTTTGGTGCCGTTGCAAACTAAAAAGTGCGTGTGCGCGCCGCGGGAACTTCAGCTGAAGCGACGGTGGCTGGTAAGGGTCACCGCGCCAAAACCGCGGCCACGGTAAACCCACCGAGATAATTTAGTTTTTTAAAAACTGGACGGTTATTTTTATTGTCAACTTTTTACTGGGGTTTACCGCTATACCGGTTACCGTGACAACCCTATAACGTACGCTACTCAGCGCTGATTGGCTCGGTTAGAATTCTCAGGGGGTGGGGTTATTTGAATAGGAGTCTGGCAGGCCAGGCTACCAAGGGATGCCCATTAGGGTCAAAAAACCCAGGGCAGTGCAAACGTTAGCAAAACAACAAGCACATCAGACTCCCTTTCATCACTGGCAACAAGTGGGGGTAAATTTGTAAAACAACAACATTTAAGAATGATGAAAGTTTGTAACCATTTGTAACAAATCAGTAAATGCATTTTGTCCTGACATGCTCCTGTAGAAGGAAACATGGCTTCAAATATGCCGTCGCCCAGAGTCTTAGACCCACTCCCAAGTATTTTAGACCAGATTTTTCTGGTCATATGCTACGAAGCCGCTGTTACCAGCTAATGTCACAGGGTACCTCTTAGCCAATAGCAGATTTAAATTCAAATATAGTGCCAAGTTTTTACCTGAAGAGAGCGCAACACTGACAGTTTTAGGCAAAATATTTAAATTTGAACAAGACGCACTAAAGTGCCAAATTATTGACTACATGTGTCTACAGCACAATTAAACAATCCTTTACATTAGGGATGCAAATTATCGAGTAATTCATTAATCAATAGTTGTTTCATCTTATCGATCGATGATCAATTAATTGATAAGCGGCAATTTTTCTGAAAATTTGAATTAAACTCTGAATAGGTTCCATCTACTATATATGCAACATAAAATGCCATATTCTATATGATATGAAGAAAAAATGCAAATAATATTCTAGGGCTGAAACGATTCCTCGAGTACCTTGAATAATTCGAGTACAAAAAATCCTCGAGTCAAATTATCTGCCTCGAGGCTTCGTTTAATTCATGTTTAATGCATGGCTTTGCAATCGCCCGGGGTCATGTTTCACCCGGACCGAAATAAGTGACGCACATGCACACTGCACTGAATGCACACGTGAGTAGCGAATGTAACCTAACTTTCTCTTAAGCCATGGCGGACAACGTGGACCCCGGTGGAGTGCGAAAAAGACACAAAATGCCAAAGGTGTGGGACCATTTTTCACGTCGTAAGGCGGAAAACGTACTCCAGTGTAAATACTGTAAAATGGATTTAGCCAAACACACCACCACATCCTCCATGCTGCAGCACCCGACCAGGAAACATCCACATGTAAATGTCACTTCTGCAAGCGGACTCGGAGCCTCCACAAGATAATGCATTTTAGCCTGTATTTCTATATATTCTGCAGACACTGTGCACTTAGTTTCAGCTCACACCGTACATCTGGTAGCAACACGTCGGACTTAAAATGTTCTAAAAATAGCAGTTTTTACAACACGTCGGACTTTTTATTGCGTTATTGATGTCCGTTGTCCCTCGAGATTGCTGCAGGAGGACACGGGTATTTATGAGTGGCGGAGGAAAACAAAAGAAAGTAAATAAATGTTTTGTGATCAATATGATTTGACATAACCACGACAAACATGCTTTCGACAATCCTTGTTAGTGTGAGAAAAAAAAGTGTGGAAATTAAAACGAACGTGTGTTAATAGGGAAACAGCTTGCGAGCCATGTTTGCGCGTGCGCCGTGAGCAGTTCTGGTTCTGTTTGGGCCGCAGCCGCTTGCATTTGTTTACTGTGAAGCAAAGTTGAAGTGCTGAAGTTTTGAAAACTAATTTTGAATAAAACTTGAATAAATAGCAATTGTTTTCTCATTTCAAGAGGTCTTTCATATTTTATAACGTGCTATTTGATATAATGGTTTAAAACGCAAAAGAGTAATTTATTAGAGTACTCGATTAATCGATAAAAGATTCGATAGAGTACTCGATTACAAAAATATTCGATAGCTGCAGCCCTATAATATTCCTTAATCAAAGATTTATTCTGGGATAAGGTGACGGCAGGGAATAACATTTGGTCGCAGCTACTCGAAATGAAAATGCATTTTTGCTTCTCATCTGCGACATTGGAACATAAATAGCAGCAGCATAAAATATACATTCCTGAAAAGAAAAATGGAATACAGACTCCTTTAACATAGTACACTGTTTCAATGAATAATAATAAAATAAATTCTGTAAAGCAAATAAAGTGTCGCATGTGGACCATCAGCAGTATTTATAATCCCTTTTTAACTGGGAAATGTGACAATATCACAATTACATTGGTAAACCAAAACTGTAGCTCTAGTTAACTTAAAATATAGGCTCCCTGATGACAGTCTTCATAAAACAACCAACCAAAACATCCCTGGTGCTTCTCATAGCATAGATAGACTTCTCTATTTTTGTTCAAGAATATCAGCAAATCCACATGGTCAGAAGTAAGTCGTGTGCGCAGCCTGTTAACAGTCAGGCCAGCTGCTGAGAATACTCTCTCAGAAGAAGTAAAAAAGTTGACAATAATAATAACCGTCTTGTTTTTTTTTTTTTTTTAATTATCTTGCTGGATTAGCGTGGCTGCGGTGTAGGCGCGGTGACCCTTACCAGCCACCGTATCATCTGCTGAAGTTGCCGGCGGCACATGTGCACTTTGTTGTTTACAACCAAAACTTTCTTGAAGCTAAAGCTGAAATAATGGCTAAAGGAGGAGACGGCAGTGCTATGGACATTTATTATCCCTCAAAGAAGACAAAGTGGGAAGTACGGGCATCTTTTGGATATTTGAAGAATGCCGAGGGACAGCTGATAGAAGACGGCTATCCTGTTTGCAGCACGTGCAGAAAAAGTATCTGTGAAAGGCAGCAACGCTTCAAATCTCATTACACATCTGCGTGACCATCACCCACAACTCTACAGTCAACGCAAGGCAAGCTAACATTAGCATTTTAGCTAAAATGCGTGATCCGAGGATTTGGGTTGAGGGAGAATGCAACGAGTCGCTATATAAAGCAGCCGCAGCGCCGCTACCTGCATATAAACCATGTTGAAATGACGCTATGCATTACAGGGCTCCCAGGGGCAGATAAGAGTTGGTCTCTCTCCGAAAATAATTATGAATTTAACAATGATTACTGCCTGATGACATTTTCCCACATCTGCAAAGCTCACTGGAACACAAACCGAGGACAATATTTTCCTGATATAGGGTTTATTACTCAAGTAAGGGTAAAAAAGTATCTGATTAGAAGGCTACTTGAGTACTGAGTATCATCTGGTCTAATATTTTTAAATGATGACATCAAACAGACAAAAAATAAGAAGTTATGGGCAAATATTGGTATTTTAAAGACTAAAGGGAAAAAATGTAAACAAATAAACAACATCATTACAAAATAACACATTTGAGGCAAAATTTAGACACAAACTGAGGACAATATTTCCTGACATACAGGGTTTATTTAATTGTGTGAAAATGTAGCATGTTTAAAAAAAATACCGCGATAATACCGAAAACCGTGGTAATTGTGGTCACAATAACCGTGAGGTTAAATTTTCACACTGTGACAACCCTACCCACAACACATTAAAGCAGTTGGTGACTAGACCAGGGTTTACATACTGCAGCATCTATCTTCATTAAAAAAAATGATCTAATTACAAATCAGATGTACATGCATTATCACAGAAACAATCACTGCAGCTGATAAGAAAACCTGGAGTACAGATCTTTCATGAAAACTCTGTGCTAAATTTACCTGGCAAAAACATGGTACGTCCCTAAAGGTTTCCTGAGACTTCCTGTCAAGTTATTGAATTATTCAGATGTATGTTTCTGAATAAACACTAACCTGGAGGAAGAAACCTCTTCCCAAAGAGAATGAGCAGCCAACTGGAAAATTGCATTTCCAGGTTTCTTATATAGATTTTGGAGGTTACATGCGCCAAGCCAATAAAATATGCAAAAGGTTTCACCGATTCAGAGTTTGAATATGCACACCAGAAAAATTAATTTATGTAGGGCAAGGAGAGGGGCTCTGGTTAAGACGCCTTGGCATAATTATGGTTACTCGGGTGATTGTTGGGTCCTGGGAAAGATCTATCGTGATTCTAGACAGCTTATTTTGACTTTAAGTCAGATATCTGAACAATTTCAATTGAGGAATCCACACACAATTTCCATGGTCAATGCTATAATGAAAGCATGCACTTGTTAAAGCCACTCGCAATCATGAAAACCATTCCATCAAGTGTGTATGGTGAGGGGGTGGTTCAGGAAGAGAGTGTGAAGTCAAAACTTTTCGGCACCACGGCGACTAATAAGGAATGTCCACAACGATCTGAGAGGCAGATGGTCCATCTGTTCCTGCCATCATCCCCCCCCCCCCCCCCCCCCCCGCACACACACACACACACTCACACTGGAGTCAAGATCTTGCTTCTTACACCCTTTTTTCCACACATCAGAAAATACCTGACTCACCTTCAACACAACTTGTTATTGATGTAATAATGCACGTCTACTTCTGAAACTAATACAAGCGTTAAAACAGATTCACACAATAAGGTAACTCACCAGTTTGCTCATCAATGGAAAATATTCCTAGCCCAGAGCCATCCCTGATGGAGTACCGTATTTCGCCATCTTGCCCTGGATCCTCGTCTTCAGCTGAAACAGTCATCACAGAAGTCCCAACAAGGGCGTCTTCCTTTATAAATCCCTTTTCCACAAACGATCGGAACAAAGGCCTGTGGAGATTCTCATTTACGTCCACCACATCCACCTCAATGAAGCAGGTTGATGACAGAGAAATGGGTTTCCCTTTGTCTTTGGCTTTTGCTGTCAGATTATACACCTGTTTAGTCTCATAATCAAGATTCTGAACAATCCGAAGAGCACCGCTGAGTTTGTCTACTTCAAAATTCCCGTCTCCGTTGTCAGTAAGACTGTATCTTACTTGACTCGAAGGTCCAATGTCAGGGTCATGAGCCTCCAGCCACATGATCACAGTACCAACAGGAAGATCCTCCCTCACTTTCACACGATAATTGGGAGGAACAAATTTAGGTGGATTATCGTTCACATCTTCCAGAGTGATTTTGAGTGGCACAGTGGACACTAGCTGAGGCTCAGACACTGCCTGATCACGTGCAGCAATCTTCAGAATATAAAATGGATAGCGCTCGCGATCCAGTGGTTTGGTCACAGTCACTACACCGGTTTTCTCATTGATAGCAAAATGATCCGTTCCTCCCAAAATTGAGTACTTAACAATTCCATTATCACCCATATCCTTGTCTGTTGAGTCGACCTGAATGATTTCTGTTCCGACAGGTGTGCTCTCACTTATCTCAACCGAATATGAATCTTGCAAAAACTGCGGGCTATTGTCGTTTGCGTCTAAAATTTTAACATCCAAGAGACGTGACAAGGATTTCTGTGGAATTCCAAGGTCATAAACGGTAATGTTGAGGGTGTAGTGGTCAGTTGTCTCCCTGTCAAGCGGAGAATAAACCAAAAGCCAGCCAGTTTCCATCTCTAAATTAAAGCGGCTCTCTGTGTCTCCTCCTGAAATAACGTATACCAGTTTGCCATTGAAGGCACTGTCTGAGTCTGTGGCACTCAAATGGACAATCCGAGCTCCAACAGGTAAGTCCTCCTTGACTTCAATAACACTTGGGAAAGATTCTCCAAACTGAGGAGTGTACCGGTTGATGGAATAAATGTCCACAAAGTTGTCGTCTGGCTCAGTCTGCGTGTGGATTTTGCTGCCCTGAAGCAGCTTTTCAGCCAACATTGTGGCGACACCCGTTTCGACACATTTCACTTGGACGGGCTTACGTGCCGTGATGACGGTTATGTTCATGATCATCGGCTGAGTCTCGTGTTCGCCGTCAGTTGCAACAATCTGTAAACTGTGAAAAGATACTTTAGCTGCCTCGCCCTCACTCAAAGTGTGCCTCAGAGAAAGCAGACCTGAGTTTGGGTTCAGTTCAAACAGATTAAGATCATTCCCAGCTTTAATATAGTACCGCACTAGCTGCAGTTCATCGGCATCTATGGCAGAGGTCGTTGTTATCTGCTCTCCCACACCGTGATCGCGGGGCACAGTCACTTCACAGTCTATGTTTTCAAACAAAGGTTTGTTGTCATTCAGGTTATTTAAAGTTATGGTCACAAATGCTTCCACCTCTCTCCGGAAAGGGGATCCCCAGTCCGATGCTCTGACTTTCAGATGGTATATCCTGGGCATGAGCTCATAATCTAGCTCCTCTGAAGTGCTGATGACACCAGAAAAGTAATCAATAACAAATGGCTGGGGACTCAGATTGGTGATGCTGTAGGTCACATAGCCATTCTCTTCCTTGTCTAAATCATTGGCTTTTACAGTCACCACACTAGTACCAACGGGTGCATTCTCATCCACACTGGCTTTGTAAGATGTCTGCTGGAACTCCGGTGCATTATTATTTACATCAACGACATCAACAATCACTTTTGCAGCTGCCTTCTCGTCACTGGTGATAACCTCAAGCTCAAATTTCAAGGAAGTATCAGCACTGATTGACCCCGCGGTGGTAATTAACCCAGTATCTGGGTTGATATTAAATCGATTTTTGTCAGAACTGTGTTTAAAAGCATATTTTAGATGGGGATACTTTGGCAGAGCTGTCACCATAGTGACAGGTGTGTGAAGAGGGGCAAATTCGCTCAGATTAACTCTGTAAGCAGCCTTTTCAAAGGCAGGAGGGCCATTATGGAACTGTGCTGAAGAGACATGTACCAGTTTAGCTGATGAAAACTGAGGGGGGGTGCCTTTGTCCTTTGCTTGTAAGGTGAGGTTGTATCCAAATGGTTGGCTGTCCCAGTCCACATCTTTGACTGCTTTAATTTTGTACTCTTTGCTCCCTGGGCTGGTCCTTACAGCCTTAAACTGCAGAAGAGGGTCACCGGCCACTATGCTTAGAGATGCTATCTCCCCGTTTGGTCCCTGATCTTTGTCCTCCACTGTCACAATGGCATATGTGGGGTCCTGATCCGCATCGGAGGGTGCCAAGGTCACTGCGGTAATTACAGGTGCATGCTCATTGGCTTGTTCCACCCTGACTGTGAGTTTGGCCATGCTACTGAAGCCACTGCTGCCGTACAGCTTCATCCCTCTGTCCACTGCAAGGATCTCAAGTTCATACAGCTTTGTCTCAGAGTAGTCTAGCTTGCCAGTCAGTGTCACCACACCACTCGTAGGATGAACAGCAAACATGTCCGTCCACTCCCTGAAGCTATAGTAGTATTCTCCATTCGTACCGATGTCTGCATCAGTGGCTGTGACCTTTGCCACACTTGTGCGTATGACAGCGTTCTCCGGCAGAGAGATGCTGTAGGATGTTGGTGAGAAAAGAGGCCTCAGATCATTTGTATCCAGTACCTGCACCTTCACTCTGGTGCGACACTCTAGGTTTGTGCTCCTTTCTGAAGCTTTGACAGTGAGCATATAGTGGTCTTTAACCTCCCGGTTCAGGATAGCAGTGCTGCCGCCTTTGGTCCTTATTCGCAAAAAACTGAAATCTCCCACCTGGTAGTCCTCTGCTTTAAACAAGTTCTCATCATCTCCAGAGATGATTTTGTACCGTATCTCCCACGCTGAGTCTGTGACAAAGATCCCCATCTTGGTGTGACTCTCTAAGTAAGTCTTAGCAGCAGAGTTCTCATATATGGTGGCGTTGTAAACTGAGTGGGTGAACTGCATGGAGGAGGCTCTCGCTATCCTGTGGCTTTCTGCACAGCCACAGAAAAGCTGCAGGAACAGAGCGAGCAGTATCACCCAGCGCTTCCCCATTATCGTACCGTGATCTTCACAGCACCACCTGGGAAAGAAAGAAAAAGATAATCATTGAGACTTTTAGTGTTAACACCAGATAAACACATCAGCTGAGGCTGCAGTTAAGAAAATTACTGCAAAAATAATCAGACTGCTTTCAGTGAGATGTCAAGTGACGGTCGGAGAGGCTAAACTGATTTCATGTGGAAATAAGATGAAGAACATCAGTCAGTCAAGTGACACGATCTGAGCTGGAACGAGTCCCGTTTCTGCACAATGCCAGATGCTATTTTTATGTGCACTGCATAATTTTTCCAAATCTGACCTCTCTAGGCTTAAAACATTGGCACATCAACAAGTTCATCTTTAATTTCCCTACAGAACAAAATATATGTTATGTTTCTATGGAATGAAAACACTGTAAATAGACTGGTAAGCTTCACTTGCACAAAGAAAAAAAACACGCCATTGGCTACTAAACAGGTTTATAATAACCAAATCACTCATTTACAGCAGCTTGGTTTGCACAAAGGCTAATAAAAACCAAAACGTTGGTCTCTGCACAAGAATGCATTATTTACTTTGGTGTGTTAAAATGACCTCAGATGGGTTTAATTATTAATGCTTTATGTGTGGTTAATAAGTGACTTGGTTGAGCCCAATAAGTCCACCTTAAATCTGAAACCACCGCCTGCAGGTACAAAATCTCCTTTTAAAATAATAAAGAATATTAAATACATACAACACTTGTGTCTCCTTTTAGGAAATTCTGTAAAACTGTAGAGAAAGGAACCGATAACGCTCCTTTAAATGAATCTAACTGTTAGGAGGGGGGATTTCACTGTAATAGAAATAAGTTACTTTTTCTTTCATCCCCATCCCCCAACTACAACCACTCGGTGCTTGAAACGAGCAGCCGTGCTATGGGGGCAGAGATTTGAAAAGGCATTCCGCACCTCTCCAACACAAGATAAAACAACTGCAAACCTCCAAATGAACGCTGGGAATAAGAATGAGTGATCAGGCGCTGTATTAGTTGTATTAGTATTAGTTAGTTTGTAGGGAGAAAACTTCCCCATAAAGACAGAGAAAGCATGCAGCAGCCGATGGTCTCTCAGCCACACCGAGCTCAACTTTTTTCTTTTTGCTCTAACAAAGATGCCGAAAGCAGCCCGCGGGAATACAACATCCACATACCTTCATCAGCAACGTTAATCTCGTAGATTAGGAGGTTTTGCATTAAGTTTATGTAGTCCGAATCTCCGCATGGTAATTCGTGGACTTCTCTCCTCTCCGTTACTCCATCTGCTACCAGTAGGCAGGGTCTGCTTTTTTCTCCCGCTTCACTCACTGCTCCGCTTTCTCTCCCACCGCGCGGAGCGATCCCTCCGCGCGGCACAGCTCCGGGTCTACTTGGCGCCTGGCGGCGGCGGAAAACCGCGCGGCTCTCTGGGGCAGCTCCGCTGTGGTTTCTTTATGTTTTCAGACATCATTTGAAACTGGCCGAGCTCTGCCCTGTGCTAAACTAGTTTCATTTAAAATGACAGCCTGCTTAAGAGCTCCGCTTTCACCTTAAAGCGCTGCAGGCTACTAACACACCTGTGGAAAACGAAATGCTTTGGTTCAAATTAGCCTTGAAACATTTCTTTGGTCTTTAATGGATCTCTTCTTCTAAAACAGATCAGTTTGATGTATTTTTAAAATAGCATTTTACCTTTAAATATAGTAATTGATCAGTTACTATTCTATAATAAGAGTATATTTAATACACAGGTGGGAAATGGCTTCTGTGTAATAATAAATTATTGGGCTTTACCCCATTTTTTTGTTCGTTTGTTTTTTTCTTCTTTTTTCTTAAATGGTTTTTTTTTTTTTTTTTTTTTTTTTTTTTTTTTTTTTTTGCTGTGACAAAGAAATACAGCTATCTAATTTACTATCCAACCTTTTCCCTGATGAAACTATGGCATGTTATTTGCTGACAGCATTTAGTTAAAATGAGCTGAACAAGGCTAATTACACTTGTGGGTTATGAGTTGGACATTTTATTTGTTGCTTTATAAATTATAATCAGAGTTCAAAGAAATAGATTGCAAAGTCATGGGTTAACTTATTATTATTATTATTATTATTTTCATATGTTGATAAGCTTAGTTTTTGTAATAAAATTTGTAATTAATAAATGAAAAAACACTGTTTCTAATTAATACGTTGATTTCTTTAAGTTTGTTGGATTTGTTTGTTTTTATCATGCTTTAAAAATGCTGTAGATCACGCACTTTGCTGCTCCCACCTCGTCGGAATGTTTTCTTCTTTTCAAACCAAACCACAGCTACCTCCTCTCTTGTTTCTCCACTGATGGCGCTGTCTCCCTGCTCTTGTCCGGAATGCAGTCGTCCGGCTGGAGGAGCGCCTGCAGAGAAGGCTTCTGCACGCATCCTGACAACCTGACAACACGCACGGCTCCTGTTTGATTCTCTCTCTCTCTCTCTCTCTCTCTCTCTCTCTCTCTCTCTCTCTCTCTCTCTCTCTCTCTCTCTCTCTCTCTCTCTCTCTCTCTCTCTCTCTCTCTCTGTGTGTGTGTGTGTGTGTGTGTGTGTGTGTGTGTGTGTGTGTGTGTGTGTGTGTGTGTGTGACGCGCGCGTATTTGCGCGCACTAAATTTAGTGAAAAACGCGCATCAACGCTTTCACTCGGAGATCTCCCAGTCTAAAGTTTTAGAAGCCGCTATACATAATTTCCTAGCAACTCCACCAGAAAGAATCGTTACATAGGTTTATACTTACTGGTAATAAACCCCGGAGGACGCTGGCCGTCGCTCCAAAGTTTGCTTCACACAAATCCGAACAATTTCCCCCGAATATTTCCTGCGATCATCTTTCAGAAGATGCTCCGTTCTGCTGAGTGAATCAGTGACTTTATTCTCCCTCCGCTTCCACATCGGATCTGCTCAGTTGTCACATGCTTGGTCCAGCTCTCCTCCACTGAAGTACAGGTGGGGTGGCATCGCTGTTGCTGCCTTCAGGTGATGTCGGAAATATTGCGATCCTCACAAGGAGCCAGGAGGCAGACGGGAATAACAGAGATGTAATGTCCTCAGGCTGGTTGTTCTGTAGGAAATAAAGCTCCACAGGGGCGGTGATGGTAAACGTGATGTGTGATTTTTAGCTCGTGTGTTTTTGCTCTACTCAGCTTATCTGATCTTTTGTGAAGCAGATTAATCCCTACACTTAATGCAGTCATTTAAATGGATATTTTCTACTCCTGCTCAGCTTCGAATATTTATTATATGCAATATATATATATATATATAGAAATCTGGGTGTTGTGATTGATGAACACCTGGGCTTTAAAGATCATGTTGCCTCTGTTGCTCGTTCATGCCACTTTGCGCTGTATAACATATGAAAGATCAGACCATACCTAACACAACATGCCACCCAGCTCCTGGTGCAATCTGCCGTCATCTCCCGCCTCGATTACTGCAATGCCCTTCTAACTGGTCTTCCAGCCTGTACTCACATGTGAGACCTCTTCAAATGGTCCAGAACGCAGCGGCGCGTCTGGTCTTCAATTAGCCAAAAGAGCACACGTCACCCCTCTGTTCATTGAGCTCCACTGGCTACCGCTAGCAGCACGCATCAAATTCAAATTGCTAACACTAGCATACAAAGTCCGAGATGGTACGGCTCCCATCTAACTGAATCCTCTTGCAAAGGCTTACGTCTCGGCCCTGCCGCTCCGGTCATCACAGGATCGTCGGCTAGCAGTGCCTACACCACGCTCCGGACAATCCAGACTCTTCTCATGCATCGTTCCACAAATGTGGAATGACCTTCCAAGCACTACCAGAACAGGAGCTTCCTTTTCAATTTTCAAAAAACTCCTGAAGACCCTGCTCTTCCGAGAGCATCTTCTTAACTAGCACCCTGCCTGCACCCGTCCCCCCTTCTCTACTGTCCACTCCTTTGTTCCCTCCTCTCCATGACTGATGTCAAGTTGTTGTTGTTATTGTTGTTGTTATTAGCCTTAAGGGCAACATGCCGATTATCACTTGTAAGTTGCTTTGGACAAAAGTGTCTGCTAAATACATAAACATGTATATATGCATATATATTCAGCTTTGATATCATAAAATGTGACAAAGGTTCTTAATTCTACCCTAAAACTGCACAATTTCTCCCTTTAGACATTTTAAGTACATAAATCCAGAAACAATTTCTGTTTTATAGCCTTTAGTTCTGATTCTCTTTATTAATTGTGCTCCGGTGACCCCACAAAACAACCATCCTGATTTAATGGTGATCACTGAATGCACTTGAGAGAAGCAAATGCCCTTGTTGGACTCCTTGAACATGTGGCTAACGGCTAAACTTAACACCAAGCTGTGAAGTGGCTGCCAAAAATTGCCAGAGCGGAGCGTCTAGTCGGAGCCAGCGCTCGAGCGTGAGAATTTCTGCCTGATGTCCATTCAGCTTTGGCTCATTAAAGTCACATATGCCCACAGGCTGAGTAAACCAATGAGACCTGTGTGGCTTGGTGTGTGGATTTGTAAAACAGAGCTGGAGATGGAGAGAAAGGGCATTTGTGTCAGAGGGCAACAGTGTAATATTTGATCTGTCTTCTCTAAACTGGTCTCTCCATGTTCTCACACCAGGTTTTTACCTCTTTGTTGCTGTTTTCTTTCCCAGGCTACACTATGATCTGCCTGTAAAGCTTTAATTGAATTCAGGTCAGGTGACGCCCAGGGCTGGTTCCACTGCTTTGATCTCATAAAGTGTTTGCAGTCCTGGTTGCTGGGGGTCGGGTCCCGATGCCTTGTGCACCTTTGTACGTATAGTAGGGGAGTCGTCCAGACCCTGAGTAAGGGGTTTAATCAGCCTCAAACTGCCAGATCACTTCAGAATCACTGAGCAGAGATGAGAGAATTATACGTCTCCTAAGACGTACTTGAAAACGTTTGCTAACCTAAGCAGGGAAGGATATTAGGGCTAAATGACAGCAGCAGCTGAAACCACAAAGATCACACACACACACACACACACACACACACACACACACACACGCACACACACACACACGCGCACGCACACGCACACGCACACACACACACACACACACACACACACACACACACACACACACAGACACACACACAGACATACACACACAGTTTCTTTACACACTTCAAGATTCAAAACATCAAAACTGATGAAAAAGTAAAAATACATGAGTTTTGTTCGGGAAATACGTAGTAAATTACATATACTGGTTATAGCATATATAGGGTTCTACAACCCCCCAAGATTCTTTACATCGCAATCATTCATTCGCCCACGCATTCACACTGTGGTAGTGATGAGCTACATTATAGCCACAGCTGCCCTGGGCCTCACCAACAGAAGCAAGGCTGCCATACTGGCGCCGCCGGTCCCCCAACCACCACCATCAGGCAAAGACACAAAAGCAGTGATCCTTCCGATTACGGGTCGGATACTTATCTCCTCTACTACTGTCGCTCATGATCATGAGAGGAAAAGCAAAAAAAAAAAAAAAAAAGCAAAAATTTAATTGAACTACCCAAGAAAGTTATTTGATTTCATGTAGAAAATGGGTAACATGTTGTCATTTCATCCTTTGAACTGTGAATTAAAGAGAGGTGAAGTCCATGTCTCCTTTAGCTGAGACTGTTGGCAATACAGCATTTGCATAACCTAGAAATCTAGACAGATCTCTTCCTCTGCAGGTCAGTCTAGCCATCAAGGGCGTCAGTTTGTTTTCAGAATTGCTGGGGACAATAACCATACACTTGAGTGGGGTTTAAAAATTGCTGGGGACAATAAAGTAGGCTAGCACAGGGGTCGGCGGCTCTGTAGCCACATGCGGCTCTTCCATCCATCTGATGCTCTGTGCTTGTAAAATAATGAATGGATATTTAAATAAAATACGTTATATTTTACTGCATTAATTTTACATCTGTAAGTCAATTCTAAATGTAAAGATTGTCTGCGTAAACCTGAACAGGTCCAACCCGGTCTTACTGTGAGACCGGGTTGACGCGTCACGCTTGTGCGTAATCATAGGCGCTTTCTGAGCTGGAGGATGTGAGATTCTGGGATTCTCCTCAGACGGCTCCTGGATGCGTCGCCACATTGGAGACAGGAACAAGCACTATTCAGCCAAAGTTTCATAATCAGGGAACATTTTCTAAGTGACAAGTCTCTCTGAGAGACAGGGTTTGGAAAACACTCGCTTCAGTGGGAGGAATCTTCCACATGCGCTCTGGTTCTGAGAGCCTGGATTTGTATTCTGAACAGTCTAAACATGTTTTAAAAAGAAACGTATGACAAAAGTGGCACCTGCTCAGTAAAACCACCAACAGGGTGAAAAATATCAAAATATTGTAGCAGAGACGGGCTACAACTTCTGGATCATCTTTATATAAATCGTTTTATTGATTATCTTCTTATGAAAGATAACTTTGACGTACACCAGCGACCAGGCGCGTTGCAAGATTTTCAAAAGTGTGGGGGATGTTGTCTGTGCCTAAAATAAGTTCATGTTATTCATCTTGTTAGTTTAATTTCCATAATAGCGGAGCAGGTGCGAATTTTAGACGCGTCATGCATGTCTCCATTTTAAACATGTTTAAACTGTTCAGAATACAAATCCAGGCTCTGTCTAGTTAGATTGGTGTAACTAAAGTTTGTACTGAATGAAACTTTACATTAAACCATGTTGAAAAGAAAAGGATCCGATTAAATCATTTCCCCTCCTTTACAGTCACGAAGTGCAGTGCGCATGGCTCTGGGGTTAACCAAGTTTAGTTGTTTCTCTTTGCAACAATCTTCACAGGAAGGCAAAACAGTTAAATGGCAGGTTACAGATATTTATATTAGACTTTTATTTTGATGGATAAACTCAAGGATGCTGGCTGTTTTGAAAGAATTACCCCGACGCACACTGATGCGCATGGATGAGCTTGGAAAAATGTTATTTTTATGAAATTATTCATCTTTGGCTGAACAGCGCTTTTTCCCCGTCTCTAATATGGAGACGCATGACGCATCCAGTCTGAGGCAGAATAGCAGCTCAGAGAGCACCTGTAGAGACATTTGATCATGCACAAAGTTTATGTGGAGCAGAAGCGGTCGGGCCACGGCAGGTGAAATGTTCCTAGCCTACATGAAGTGAAACTGTTTAATTGTAACATTAATATGTTACTGGACACGCTGGTCTGGTTGGTTAGACCAGTGTTTGAAGTGGAAAACACACACACACACACACACACACACACACACGCACACACGCACGCACACACACACACACACACACACACACACACACACACACACCAATTAAAATAATGCTGATAGCGTGGATAGAAGACAGGTGATGGTTTACGTATTTAAATGATGATCAGGCTGCTGTAAAATGTAATCTCCATCCACATCCAGACACAATTATCCTCTATTCTTTCTCTAGTTGCTCTGCTCTTGTCTGGGCTGACGTAGCTGATGGTGCGCGCGGCGCGCCTAACTAGCGGCTGATGCACATTTTACGCATTTGGAGAGATGGGCTGGATGCTTTGCTTTTACTGGAAGATGGTCCACTTAACGCACGGGTGTAGACTACATATTAATGACAAATGAATGAAAATTAAATTGGGAGTTTTTACTTCATATTTTAGAAATTAAAATGATGGGGGAAAACATTTATGACATCTTTTTAAACGAAATTTTCTAGCGCGACCTGCCTGCTTCACTTAAGTCACTGCTTATTAAGGTCCGTCCAGAATGACCGTGGCCCACCCAAAAATGAAAACCTGGCGCCGCGCCTGTTATAAACCTCTGCAAATGGTTGTTCTTCACTTTATCAAACTCAGACTTTGTACAGCTAATGTCAAGATGTAAAATTATGAATTCAGTCGAGCTCTTCCGTCCCTCCCTCTCCTGCTCTCCTGGAAACCCGACATCGGCTGTCAGAAGTGGGAGGTGAAGAAGGAGATGAGGCAAACAGAGTGAGTGTGCGACATA